TATGTTAAAATCGCTACGAAAACTAAGGTTTTGGAAGGATTTCGTCTTGCGCGCGCGAATGTCCACTTTACCTTATTTTTTGCAAGGGATTCTTGAAGTTTGGATATGTTAGAACAAGAAATGTCCACTTTAGCTTATTTTTTGCAAGGGAAAACCGATCGTAACAACACAACCGGATCTGGTACACATCGTTTTGCCTCAGACTTCCTAACGAAAATGATGAAAATGTGGCTGCGGCCTAGGCGCGGCGGGGGGGGCATGCACCAGGGGTCCCAACAATAATTATTCTTAAGAAGAAATAATGTTCAACAACAACAACAACAACAACGACGACAACCACATCACCAGCATCATTCCTATCATCATCAGCGTCAACATCGCCACCATCATCACTATAATCATCATCACCATCATCATCAGTATTGTACTCCTCTTCCTCTTCCTCTGCTCCTCCTCCTCCTCCTCCTCATCATCATCATCATCATCATCATCATCATCCTTCTCCTCCTCCTCCCTCTCCTCCTCCTCCTCCTCTCCCTCCCTCTCCCCAATTCTTCCTCCTTTAAATAATTTCTCTCCCTCGCACCCCGAGGCCAGTTTTTAGGGCGGGCCGGGCGTTTCGCTTGAGACATCCTCACCACCTATGAACCTGAAGCTTCAAACATGGAAGCAGCTGTACATATTGAAGCGTGGTTTTAAAACGTGGCTCTCCCCTTAGCGCCGCGCACACTCGTGTTACAACTTGCAAGAGCTTCACGGTTTGAGGGGGGTGGTTTTCAAAATGTAGCTCTCGCCTTAGCGCCGCGCACACTCGTCTCAAAAAATACACGAGTTGCACGGTTGAGGGCGAGTCGTTTTCAAAATGTGGTTCTCACATGCACCGCACACATTCGCTTAAAATTGCAAGAGCTTCACAGATTGAAAGCGGTTCCTTTTCAAAATGTGGCTCTCCCCTCAGCGCCGCGCGCATTCGTTTAGAAACATTGCAAGAGCTTCACGGATTGAGGGCGGCTCATTTTCAAAAAGTGATTCTCGCCTCGGCGCCGCGCACAATTCGTTTTAAACAATTACAAGAGTTTCACGGATTCCCATGATCAACGTACCAGGAACGATGTTTTGGAAGGATTCAAGCTTATGATGGGTGCACAAGTAATGCTGATTCGCGCTGTTCAGGTCCCAGGAATGGCGTTCTGGCAAGATCCATCCAGGGTCGTCAGGACGCAACAATGAGGTTTATCCGTGGCGTTGGAATCCCGAGAACAATGCATTGGCATGCTTCAGGGTCTTCAAACAGCTGTCTTCCAACGAGGCAGTTCCCACAGTAAAAATGCACCGTTGTATGGGGAAGAGGGAGCCTGGAGGGAGAGTTTATTCCAACATCGCTGATGCCTCTTAGGTTTACACTGGTCCTCCTCCTCATCCTCATCCTTCGCCTCCTCCTTCTCCTCCTCCTCCGCTTCCTCCCCTCATCTTCCTCCGTCATCCAGATGCCGCTTCCAGGAGGCACCCTCGTCGGGGATGCCCTCAGACAGGTAGCATTTGAGCATGGTCCCGTGTCCCTCCTCCTTTACTCCTCTCGCAGCATCTGGGAGTTCTCTCCTCTTTCCCCCCTATCCTGTCCTCGCCCTGCCCGCCACGCTCTAATCGAGGCATCGCCACGATTTGCTCCAGCCTGGCCCCCCCCCGATCAGCCCATGCAATTCACCAGGGAATCGTGCTCGCACCCCGGCGCCAGCTGCCTCCTCCGTCGGGCCGGGGCCGCCCAGACCCCTCCCGGAGCACAATTCGACGACAGAAGTGGAATCAAGGGGTTCCCAGAGTTTCCCTCCCTCCTCGCTCCTCCCTCCTCCCTCCTCCCTCCTCCCTCTCCTCCCGCTCCTCCCTCCTCGCTCCTCCCTCCTCCCTCTCGGAGCCCAGGGTTTCCCAGAGTTTCGAGGGCGTCTCAAACGAAACAGGCCAGACCACCTCTGGCGCGGCATCTCGAAGCCCAGTCGCGAGGATGTCTCAAGTGGAACGCGCCAGACCACCTCGCGCACATTTTCTGAGAGCCCGGAGTTGCGAGGATGTCTCAGGCGATACGAACTGGACCACCCCGCACACGTCTTCAAGGAGCCCCGAGTTGCGAGGATGTCTCGAACGAGACGCGCCAGACCACCTCGCGCGTGGCATCTCGGAGCCCCGAAATGCGAGGATGTCTCAGGCGAAGCGGACCGTACCACCTCTCGTGCGACATCTGGGAGCTCAGAGTTCCGAACATGTCTTTCAAGCGGCGCCCAGACCCCTCCCAGAGTACAATTCAACAACAAACATGTAATCAAATGGGCCGTTTGGGTCTGACCCCTCCTCCCTCCTTTCTCCTCCCGCTTGGAGCCCGGAGTTTCGAGGATGTCTCAGGCGAAATGGGCCAGACCACCTCGCCCGCAGCATCTCGGAGCCCCGAGTTGCAAGGATATGTCGAGCGAAACGGGCCACATACACACACCACACACACACACACACACACACCGCACATTGTCTCACAGCTCAGAGTTGCAAGGACGTCTCGGGCGAAACGAACTGGATCACCCTCTCGCGCAGCATCTCGGAGCTCAGAGATGCGAGAAAGTCTCAAGCGAAACGCGCCAGGCCACCTCGCGCGCGGCAGCTCGGAGCGCAGAGTTGCGAGGATGTCTCAGGCGAAAAAAAGCCGGGCCACCTCGCACGCGGCATCTCAGAGCCCCGAGTTGCGAGGATGTCTCATGCGAAACTGGTCAGACAACCTCGCGCGCGGCATCTCGGAGGTCAGCGATGCGAGGATGTCTCAGGCGAAACACGCTGGACCAACTCGCCCGCTCCATCTCGGGGCTGAAAGTTCCGAGTGTGTCTCAGGCGAAACAGCCCAGACCACCTCGCGCGCGGCGTCCTAGAGCCCTCATGTTCGACGATGTCTTAAGCGAAACGGCCCAGACCATCTCTCGCACGGCATCTCAAGGCATAGAATTTCGGGGATGTCTCGAGCGAAACGGCCTGGACCACCTCTCGAACGGCATCTCAAGACCTAGAACTTCGAGGCTTCGAGGATGTCTCGAGCGAAACGGCCTGGACCACCTCGCGCGCGGCGTCCCAAGCGAAACGGCCCAGACCATCCCTCGCACGGCATCTCGGGGCTTAGGCATTCGAGGATGTCTCAAGCGAAACAGCCAACCCCAGACAACTCAGACACGAGAGTTGGAAGGATGTCCTACGCGAAACGGCCCAGACCACCAGACTTTGTCGATGACATCTCTGCTCCCCTTTCCCTCGGCCAGTGCAATTGCACGGCATCCGCAGGGCGGACTGGTCTGAAGGGGCCTCAGGACACACAAATATAAATACACACAAATAAAAAGATTCCCCATATTTTCCCATATTTCCTGGGTTTCTGTCTTCCCCCCCATTTCCCATATTTTCCCATATTTTCCTGGGAGTCGACGACTAATTGTGTCTGTGTGTTTTTTCCCCTCATGATGGCCACAGACCCAGCATTACTGGCTGACCCGACGTAAGACCCTAAACCAGGGCGCCAGACGCTGGCGAGCAGGCGTCGCAGACTGCAAGAGGGCGAGGAAACCAACGAGGAGGGAAGGAGAAGGTGGAGAAGGAGAGGGGGGGCCGCGCGAGGTGCGCTCGCGCCACGTCTGACATCCTACTCCTCCCACCCACCCCTTCCCATGGCAGGCCTGGAACTACCCCAAGGACCCCATCCTCTTATCTATCTTGTGATATACAATCGTAAAAAAGGAGCTGTGTATTCAGTAGGGGAGGAGGAGGAGGAGGAGGACGAGGAGGAGGAGGAGGAGGAGAAGGAGGAGGAGGAGGAGAGGAGGAGGAGCAGGAGGAGGAGGAGGAGGTGGCGGATAAGCACAAGGATGAGCAGGAGGAAGAAAAGGAAGAGAAGGAAGGAGGAGGAGGACGAGGACCAACAGCAGCAGCAGGAACTGGGGTGGAAGGAGCGGGAGATACTGGAGGGCCAAGGAAGGGCCAGGGAAGGCGGAGGAGGGGAAAGGAGGGGGGCCGACAACGATGAGAAGGGACTCGGATCCAGACAAGAGGCCCTCGCTGGGGCGAGAGCGCCATTCTGAACGACGGGGGCGAAATATCGATCCTGAAATGGGGCCAACGCTGCAGCGGCAGCACTATTTTGAAACACCGGAAACGTTCAGATCGAAAAAAAACATCGGAACGACCAGACAAAAAAAAAGTCCTGTGAACAAGCACGGCGCGGGACGGGCAGGCTACGAAGGAGAGGGAGCGAAGGAAGAGGGGGAGGGAGAGAAGGCGAGGAAGAGGAGAACGAGGAGGACCAGGAGGAGAGGGACAAGGAGGGCAAGAAGAGGAGGCAAAAGAGGAGCCGACGTGTGGGGAGCAAGCCGACGGCATCAGGAGGAGGACCGAAACGCGCCAGCGCCGATCTGCGCCACCCTGATGGGCACCCAGCAGACGGGGGGGGGGGACCTTGGTCGACGCAGGAAAGCGCATGCCCCGGCGGAAGACACTAGCGAACATTCCTGCAACACTCATCTGTCAATGCCCCCCCCCCCCAATGATCCAAGCTGGCCTTGGGCCTAAGGAGTCGAAGTTCGACTACCGTCTTCTCCGCGCGTGCCAACTTCGAATGCTCGAGAGAAGGGGGGGTCTCCACGGATCGCCTCCCTCCACCGCAGCGCCCTCTTGCCGCTCTCCCGCGCTGGCCCGCACGAGCGCGGCACCCTCCTGCACGCCACGACGGGCCGCTGCCGGGCACCCGCCGGCTACACGCAGGAGTGACCCCGGGTAAGAGTGACCTTTGGTGCGCGGCTTCTTGGGGGCCGCGGGGAGACCAAACCTGGGCGCGCAAGCCACTGCTGCCGCCGCGTTTTCAGCCATCTGAGGGCCCATCTGTGCCTGCACCAAAGGTCACTCCGGCGAAAGGTCACTCTTACGTCTAGTCGAACCCGTCTCGGCAGCGACGGGCCGAGACCCCTGGGCGGGGCAGCGGGCTCCAGGATGGTCTCGCGGAGCGCGTCGTTGGACTGCTCCTGGCCGGCGGCGCCCCGCGCGTCCTCCCCGCCTCCCCGGGAGCAGGGGCAGGCAGAGGGAGGAGGGAGGAGGGAGGAGCGATGGAGGACCACGACGAAGAAGACGGAGGAAGGACGAGCACTAGGGTAACGGAACGAGACTGATAAGGAAGGGATGCTGATGATGATGATGATGATGATGATGATGATGATGATGATGATGATGATGATGATGATGATGATGATGATGATGATGATGATGATGATGATGATGATGATGATGATGATGATGATGATGATGATGATGATGATGATGATGATGATTATTATGAGGATGAGGATGAGGATGAGGATGATGAGGATGATGATGAGGATGAGGATGAGGATGATGCTGATGATGATGATGGTGGTGGTGATGATGATGAGGATGATGCTGATGATGATGGTCGGGTGGTCGGTTGCAGGGCGCAGGGCTCACCCCGAGACAGGGGCCCGAGGCCACCGCAGGGCCCCTGGCGGGCCATTGCGGGCCCAGGGCAGCGCCGCCCAGCATTCCAGGCCGCACCCGGCCGACCCAGACTGAAGGGGCCCACAAACACACAAATAAATACACAAAAATAAATAGATTCCCAATATTTTTCTATATTTTCTCCGTTTCTGTCTTACCCCCCACTTCCCATATTTTCGCATATCTTCTGGGAATCGCCGATTAATTGTGTCTGTGTGTGTTTTTTTCCCTCCTGAGTGACGCGGGCCGAGGTCCCGGGCCGTGCGCGGCCAACACGGAGGAGGTGTGCCAGGCCACCAGGCCGGCACACCGCAGAAGACGAGCCGCATCCAGCGCGGCGACGGCCCCCAAGCGGGGGAAAAGGGCGAAAGCGAAGCGCGCGGGCCGCTTCCGGCTCGTGCCGGAAGCGGGATGCCAGCAACGGGCGGCAGGCTGCCGCGGCCGCTGGCCCAGGTGACCTGCTCCGGTGCAGGGTCTCTCCGAAGGACTTAGGCGACCCGTCCTCCTCCTCCGCCTCCTCCGCCTCCTCCGCCTCCGCCTCCTCCTCCTCCTCCTCCTCCTCCTCCTCCTCCTCCTCCTCCTCCTCCTCCTCCTCCTCCTCCTCGGGTCGCCCGCGGCCCCAGGGGAGACCGTGCACCACTTCGCTCGGGGACGGCCGCGGTTCGCAGGCTGCACGCCTCAGCGCCGCGGTGGCCTGCGCCGTGGCCTCCCGCCGCCGTCCAGGCGCAGCGGCTCGGGCCTCGCGCCGTCGCCCGCTCGGGGCCCCGCCGCGCCCTCCGCGCCCGGGGGGGGCCTCCCCTGGCGGAGGCGGCGCAGCGCTGCTGCCGGGCGGTCGGAGGCTCCGCCGCTGCACTCCGCACGAAACCTAACCTTAAGTCGGGCCTGTCCCCCTACAGGCCGATTTTGGACAAAACAATTTCAAAAAATACCCCAAAAATGCCCTAAAAATGCTCAACAGTGGACCAACAGTAGTCCCCAGACTATTTTTTTACTATTTTTGAATATTCCTCCTGTAGAGGGACAGGCACGACTTAAACCTAACCACGCGGGAACCGTCCGCGTAGCAGCCGCAGGTCGAGTTGAAGGCCAGCGTGCTCCTGCCCTCGCCGAAGGACCACAGGCGGTGGCTCGGCGCCATGCTGGCATTCCACCACCGCGGCCTCTCCACTGCCGCTGGCGGCTCGGCGAGGTCTGCTCTAGCCACGGCTGCAGCTGCGGAGGCGGCGGCGTCCTCGTCTCGTGCGCCACCCTGCGCTGCCGTCTCGGCATCTGCCTGCGACGTCGATGCCGCTGCGGCCATCATCGCCACCGCTGCCGCCGCTGTGGCTACGCTCGCGGCGCCTGTGCCGGCGCTGGCGCCAGACTTGCCCGTGTAGAACGAATCGTTCTCTGGCGAGCCGCTCCCGATTATGCTGTCGTCTATGTCATTGGATGTGCGAGGTCCCGCGTCCTGGCCACCCGCCTCGAAGTATTTGCTCTGGATGGGCGGCGGACCTCCTGATGGGCCCGCGTCTGGGTGGGGTTCGATGTCGTCGCCTTCGGCGTCCATGAGCTCGTAAGCCACGGCCTCGGCCATACTGCGCCGCGCACTGGTGTTACCGTCCTTCGCAGTGCGCTGCGCCTGGGGCGGCTGCCAGGGGCCCCACGCCTCATTGTCCTCGTCCTCGTCTTCTGGCTCGGCGCTGAGACGCCTGCGCCGACGCGGCAGGGCGCTGGCCTCAACTTCGAGCCCAGAATGGGACGCCTGAGGTTGATGATGATGATGATGATGATGATGATGATGATGATGATGATGATGATGATGATGATGATGGTGATGACGATGTTGATGACGATGACGATGACGATGACGATGATGATGATGATGATGATGATGATGGTGGTGATGATGATGATGATGATGAGGATGCTGACGATGATGATGACGATGCTGACGATGATGATGATGATGATGACGATGAGGATGATGATGATGATGCTAACGATGATGATGATGACGATGATGATGAAAACGATGATGATGATGATGACGATGCTGACGATGATGACGATGGTGATGATGATGATGGTGGTGATGATGGTAATGATGATGATGATGATGATGATGATGTTGATGTTGATGTTGATGATGATGATGATGATGCCAGCGATGATGATGATTATGATGATGATGATGATGATGATGATGATGATAACGACGATGCTGGCTGGCGATGATGATGATGACGATGATGATGATGATGATGATGCTAACGATGATGATGATGATGATGATGATGATGATGATGATGATGATGATGATGATGATGATGATGATGATGATGATGATGATGATGATGATGATGATGATGATGATGATGGATGATGATGATGATGATGATGATGATGATGATGATGATGATGATGATGATGATGATGATGATGATGATGATGATGATGATGATGATGATGGTGGTGGTGATGCTGTTGTTGATGATGATGATGCCTATTATGCGGGGAGGAAATCACCGATCCACAGGTGACAGAGTGCCCAGACAGGGAGGGCGGGCCCACCGCGAAGGAGATGCCCCTTGAGTGGTCCAAGTCACAACCCCGTACTCAGCCCCACGGTCCCACGACACATCCATGTTGTAAGAATGTCTGCGAGCGGCCAATCACCACCCCACGCTCAATTCCAATACACAGGACGTCTCACACGCGCCAAGAAGCCCATTCGTTAAGATACCTGCCACTGCCAACATCACCCAATAGAGGAGGCTCATAAAGAAGAGCGGCGCCCCGACGAAGATGCTCGGGCCTAGGAGGATCCGAGCAGGATTCGTAAACATACCCGCACGAACCGCAACGGGATCCGCACTAGGGAAATCTCTTCAGGACCACCGGTGGCAGGGAAAGGCAGGGAGACGCGGGCCAGCAACTGTGCGGCTGGCCGCCAACCCCTGAACTGCACAAGCAACTGCCTCAGGGGCAACACCGCCAGCACAAAGAGAATGAACTGCAGAATCGGCACTCGCCATGCGAACCCAGCACACCAGGAAGAGAACAAACACCAGCTGCAGAAGGACCTCACCATCCGCACCAAGCGCAATAGGGACCGCCTCAGGAGGACCGTCGACATTCCTAGGTACGAGAACCTCCGCGTCCAGGTTGAAGGCGGCACCGCGGGTAGAAGAAACATACCACCCTGTACATCACTGTTCGTCCTCGGAGCCTCGGCACGGGAGCCGAAGCCAGTCCTGCTCGAATAGGCCTGCGACAACAGATCGCCCCCAGGGGCGTGCCAAGGATCAGAAACACCATCATTTCGACACCGAGTGCGCTGAAATCGCTGGCCTTCCTGGTGATCATGGTCATTTTGGTCATCGTGCGCATCATCGCCAGGAGGACTACCATGTCCGCCGCACCAAGACCAGCGCCGATATCAGCGGCACCATCTGGTACGGCAGAAATCCCCAAAACAAACTCCGCAGTCCCAGTTGAATGATGGTGGCCGTGATCAACGGTAGGATGCTAAGACATAGCCTGTGCAATGTCATCAATGATGCGCAGCTGCAGCATTTGGGTCATGGCCGAGGGCTCCAGCACAGGACTAATCAGGATTTGCGTTGTATCATGACATGCAGCCTAGGCGGCCTCAGAAGCAATGTGCACCGAAAAGCCCTGCACGATCTGCCTTCGCACCAAGCCAAGCCAGGCAGCAACGACGAGCAACACGGGAAAGAATGATGATGGTGATGATGGTAATGATGATGATGATGATGATGATGATGATGATGATGATGGTGATGATGATGATGGTGATGATGATGATGATGAGAATAATGATGACGGTGATGATGGTGATGATGGTGATGATGGTGATGATTGTGATGCGAATAGAGCCGGTGCAGGTAGTGATGCTGACGATGATGCTGATGCTGGTGACTCTTATGGTGATGCGCATGGTCATGATGCTGGTGTTGATCATGTAGCTGACTGGAACATTAGACACAAAACATATGATGATAACAATAATACGAACGATGATGGTGCTATTAAGAATATAAATAATTCTCAAAATCATAACAGTAATGTTACAATAATAATCGGGAACAGCATCATCATCATCAGCCTCATCATCAGCAGCAGCAGCATCATCATCATCATCATCATCATCATCATCACAACCATCATTGCCATCATCATTATTATCGTCATCATCGTCAGCATCGTCATCATCATCATCATTATCATCATCACCCTCATCATCCTCATCGTCCTCATCATCATCATCATCATAGGAGTAACAATGCGAATCAGAATTAAACTGCTACAAATAGTAGTGCTGATAATAATACTAATAGCGATGATGATGATGGTGATGGTGAAGGTAATGGTGATGATGAGGATACAGATGGGGATGAAGATGATAATGACGATGATGATGATGATGATGGTGACAATGCGGATGATGATGATGAGAATGATGATGATGATGATGATGATGATGATGATGATGATGATGATGATGACGATGATGACGATGATGACTCTGTTTTTTATTATGATGGCGATGATGATGTTGTTGATGATGATTATCCAGACGCCTCCTGCTCGCCGACTCCCAACCTGCCTCGCCAATGGAGCGCGCGAGAGCACTCAGTGCCCCAGCGCCACCAGCGTCGCGCTGGCGCAACACAGCATGAACGCCGTGCTGCTGATGATGATGATGATAATGATGATGATGATGATGAGTATGATGATGGTGGTGATGATGGTGGTAATGATTTGTGATGATGGTGATGAGGAGGAGGAGCAAGGGAGAGGAAGAGGAGGAGTAGGAGGAGGAGGAGGAGGACGAGGAGGAGACCAAGCGCCCCCAAGAAAGTCCCATCCACAATCATCGACGAGCCCCCGCAGCGCGGGCAAAATCTGCCGCCTCGGGCACCCATCCGCCTAACTTTGTTGCGGAGGAGGCCATGGACGTGAGCAACCAGGATGACGACAGACCACAGCCGGGGAAAGGAGCAAGGACAGAGGGCCAACAACCGGAGCATCGAGGACGGCAACGGCGCGTCAGCAGCCGGGGCCGCCCGGGCAAAGGATCTGGGGCACCTCGCGGAGTGAGGCTCGCGGCACCACAGGCCATCATGCACTGGCGATCAGGGCTGCGAAGGTGGGCGTCGCTCACCCGCCCGCTCGTCCAGGCGCGAAGGGCGGCCGTCGTCCACGCGGGGGGGGGAGCGCCGCGATGCTCCCAGAGAGCTCTCGAGCCGTGATGGCGCCATTTGTCCGCGTGGCTCGTGGACGTGCAGGGAGCGATCTACATGCGTTAGAGGCACACTTGCAGAACATGTCGATGTGGCATGAAGCTGTACGTTGGTATGTTGCGCAGTAGATTGGCAGGGCACTGTCATCTCCTCATCCTCCTTCCAAGCCCTCCGTCGCAACGGGGTGTCCGCAACATCTGCGCAATTATCCCTCGCACCACGCTGGACCAAAGCAGCCGGCATGGAAGATCCGAGGCGCTGCGGCAATACTCCTTTTCTTATGTGCATGTGCTTTCCTCTTTGCCAATGCGCCGTCTAGGCGCGGCTCCTTCGTTCGTTCGTGCCGCCGGCTGTCTCGTCCCCTCGTCCTCCTCCTCCTCCTCCTCCTCCATCATCATCATCATCATCATCATCATCATCATCATCATCATCATCATCATCATCATCATCATCATCATCATCATCATCATCATCATCATCATATCATCCCTCCTCCTCATCCCTCCTCCTCCTCCTCCTCCTCCTCCCTCCTCCTTATCCCTCCTCCTCCTCCTCATCATCCTCCTCCTCCTCATCCCTCGTCCTCCTCGTCCCTCCTCTTCCTCCTCATTTTCCTCCTCCTCCTGCTCCTCCTCCTCCTCCTCCTGCGGCGTGGGTACCGTCATGGCGCGCCTTCGGCAGAAGCCCGCCATCCCTGGCGTCGCCAACCAACTCGTCCAGCTGCCTCGCCGCGAGGCATGCCGGCTGCAGCGGCGAGAAGGCGGCGACGTCGCGGCCGCGCGCCTCTCGAGGGCGCTCCGGGCGGGAGGGAGGGCAGCGGATCGAAGGGAGCCCTGCGCAACATGTGGGGGGTCACTGGCGCGTGAGCGTCCTCGATCAAGGGCGTCCTGCGAAACACGTGAGGGGCCATGTGGGAGGGCAACAGATCGAAGGGCGTCATGCGAAACATAGGCGGGCCCCCATGAGTCCGTTCGAAGCCCTAGTGGGGCAAGTGGTCTCTCCTGAGACTCCTCCTCCTCCTCCTCCTCCTCCTCCTCCTCCTCCTCCTCCTCCTCCTCCTCCTCCTCCTCCTCCTCCTCCCCCCGCCTCCACCTCCTTGGCCTCCTCCTCCTCATTCTCCTCCTTGGTCGTTGCAAGGCCATCTCTCACTGCACCCGAGGATAGCCGAGGGTGTGAAACGGTACCCCCTCTCATCGAACTGGTTGCATGCCCGCCTGCCCGCCCGACAGCTCCCTCCCTCCCACCCTCTTCCCCGCGCTGCCCGCTCACTCCGGTCCTCCCCGTCCGCCCCGCGCCCCCTCCCAGGCCACTTCTGCCAGAAGCCTTGGCCACGTCCATCGGGGTCCTGCCTTTGGAGTCCTTCGCCTCCAGGTCCCCGCGCATCACCACGAGCAGCGGGACAACGTCCTCGGCGGGCGGGGGCGCGCCGGCGAGCAGAGAGCGCCTCCCAGAGCCGAGGGCCCAACGGGCTCGCAATCTACTCGAGAGCCCTCCCCCTCCTGGGAGGTTAAGGAGGAGGAGGAGGAGGAGGAGGAGGAGGAAGAGGAGGAGGCGTAGGAGGAGGAGGAGGAGGAGGAGGAGGAGGAGGAGGAGGAGGAGGAGGAGGAGGAGGGGGAGGAAGAGGAGGAGGAGGAGGAGGAGGAGGAGGAGGAGGAGGGGGAGGAGGACCTGGGGAAGTGGCGGCAGCAGAGCGCCCCCGAGGGGGAGGTGGGAGGGGAGGGGAAACGGGGGGGGAGGAGCGGGAGAACGGCGCGTGCCACCTTGCAGCGGACCCGAGGGTGTTGGAACAACTCGGTTTGGCAGGGCCGGCCATGCTCATGATAGAAGTCGTCTTGCGCGGGCTCCTCGGGACAGGAGCAGGCAGCCATGCCGAGCTCATCCACATCGCTCTGAAGGGTGCTCCTCTTTCCCGCTTCGGGCTTCCCCAGGGGGAGAACAAGCAACCGAGGGCGGTTGCCGTGTTTATACCTATGCATGTCTCTCCCCTTCCTTCCCTGTCTTCGCCCGCTTCCGCCTTCCACCCCAGCCATTTGCCCCCTCACCTGCGTCTTGCTTCAGTACCGCTGGCTCGAACAACGATCGCGGCAAGGCGTGCTCAAAGACTACTCGCGCGAGCGCGACAATGACCAGCGTGGAAAAACACATGAACAGAAGTGCTGTCACATCATGGCCAGCATGACGGAGGCAAGTGGCAGCGCATTCGTGGCATCGTCATTGCTTCCAGCATTTGGATTTCGGAGGTGAGGGGGTGAGATCGAAGTGGAACGGAGAGCCCCCCTACCGGGAAATCGATTTCGGTTTCGTGTTCGTGCGTGCCGGGCGTGCGGGCGAGGCGAAGCTGCGTGGGCGGGCGAGAGAAAGTCTCCTGTGGCTGAGGCGCGGCCGGACCAAATGTCTCCCTTCCGGGCGGCTGGGGGCCCGCGGTGTCCCGCCGGTGTCCCGCTGGTGTCCCGTGTGGCTGAGGCGCGGCCGGAGCAAAAATATCTTGCCCGGGCGGCTGAGGGCCCGCGGTGTCCCGCCGGTGTCCCGCTGGTGTCCCGTCGGTGTCCCGTCGGTGTCCCGATGATGATGTGGATGATTATGATGATGATGGTGATGATGATGATGGTGATGATGGCGATGATGATAGTGAGATCGATTGTGAGATCGATAGTGAGATGGATTGTGAGATCGATTGTGAGACCGAATGTGAGATCGTCTGTGATATCGATAGTGAGAACGGTAGTGAGACCAAATGTGAGATCGACAGTGAGATCGATAGTGAGATCGATAGTGAGATCGATAGTGAGATCGATAGTGAGATCGATAGTGAGATCGATAGTGAGATCGATAGTGAGGCCGAATGTGAGATCGATTGTGAAACCGAATGTGCGATCGATTGTGAGATCGATAGTGAGATTGATTGTGAGATCGATAGTGAGATCGATTGTGAGATCGATAGTCATATCGATAGTCATATCGATAGTGAGATCGATAGTGAGATCGATAGTGATATCGATCGTGAGATCGATAGTGAAACCGATAGTGAGACCGAATGTGAAACCGAATGTGAGATCGACTGTGAGATCTATTGTGATATCGACAGTGAGATCGAAAGTGAGATCGATAGTGAGATCGATTGTGTGATCGATTGTGAGATCGATAGTCAGATCGATTGTGAGATCGATCGAAACTGATCGATAATGAGATCGATTGTGAGACCAAATGTGAGATCGATTGTGATATCGATAATGAGATCGATAATGAGATCGATAGTGAGACCGAATGTGAGATCGATTGTGAGATCGATAGTGAGATCGATTGTGAGATCGATTGTCAGATCGTGAGATAGATAGATAGAAATACCGATCGTGAGATCGATAGTGAGACCGATAGTGAGACCGAATGTGAGATCGATTGTGATATCGATAGTGAGATCCACTGTGAGATCGTTAATGAGATCGATTGTGAGATCGATAGTGAGACCGAATGTGAAACCGAATGTGAGATCGATTGTGAGATCGATTGTGAGATCAATAGTGAGATCGGTAGTGAGACCGATTGTGAGACCGAATGTGAGATCGATTGTGAGATCGATTGTGAGATCGATAGTGAGATCGATAGTGAGGCCGAATGTGAGACCGAATGTGAGATCGATTGTGAGATCGATTGATTGTGAGATCGATAGTGAGATCGATAGCGAGATCGATAGTGATATCGATAGTGAGATCGATTGTGATATCGATTGTGAGATCGATGGCGAGATCGATCGAGTGAGACGTTGGTTCCTCCCCCCCCCGAACCTCCTTATCACCCGAAGGATGGTCGTATAGGTATCCTTCAGACCTGGGAGGGGGGAGGGAGACGGGAGGGGACAAATGGGAGGGAGCGGCGCGCGGGAGAAGGGGACATCGGAAGGGAGGCGGGGCCGAAGTGGAGGGTGGAGGAGAAGCTCCAGGCACGACCTGGGCAGCGTCGGTTTCTGCGGCCCGGGGAAAAGCCACGACAGCGCGGAGAGAGCCCTCCCGCACCAAAACATGGATTCTCATCTAAAGGGGCCCAGGGACACACAGATAAATAGACACAAATCCCAGGAATCGCCCATATTGTCCGATATGTTCTGAGGGTTCGTCGTCCTCACACTTCCCATATGTTCCCACATATTCCTGGGAGTCGATGATTCACTGTGTCTGTGTAATGTTTTCCCCTCCTGACCCTCCTCCGCCATCCCGCCTCATTCCAAATCAAATGTTCCCCAAAATCAGTGAGCATCGAGTCGGGAAATCGTATCGAACCGATAACTTCGTCGGATCGGGCTACATCGGCACGAAGTCGGAATCGCATCGGACCAGCTGCGCCAGGACGCACGACAGCGTCGTGCAGGCTTCGGGCCGCATCGGATCGTCGGAGTATCGGAATCGAACGAGATCGGGCAGGCCAAGACGAGCATCGAATTGGGTCCATCGGATCGACATGGGCCCTGCTCCTCCCGAGCGCACCATCAGACGTGTGGGCAGGGAGGGCGGGGCGTTTCTCCTGAGACTCCTCGCCACTTACTACCCCGAAGCTGGACATGTCCTAGACTCACAAGAGAGATGGCGGCTTTCAACAAAACATCGCCTTAGCGTTGTGCGCAACAACGGTTTCAGAAGCTCGCAACAGCTACAGGGATAGAGGAGGTCAGGTTTAAAATGGAGATCCTGCATTCGCACCGTGCGCATTCGCGTTAGAATATTGCAACAACTACCAGGGCGGAGAACGGTTCCGCTTCAACGTGGGGCTCTCTCCTGCGACTTCTGCTTCAAAGTAAGAAAGCAGAAATTTTCATCTACATACATAACATCGGCTCGGAGGAATGGCGGTTCCGTTTCAACATCGCGCTCTCGCTTGAGCCTTCCGCCAATGCAGTGGCCATAAGCGAACACGTGTGCAAAGGTTACACGGATGAGCGGCTCTTCTTCAATGCGGCACTCTCGCTGGACACATCGCTGAACTGTATGATCATGCCTTCTCATGATCGTTCTTCTTCGATGGAAGAATGCAGAACGATTCCTTTCCAAAACGGGGCTCCCGCCTGAATGACAGGCCCATCGGGTGATCGGTTGTAGAAGGGCCGTTCATTGGGACTTCGGACGCGCAAATGTATTGTAGCATCTTCGTCGTTCTCCTCCTCCTCCTCCTCCTCCTGCTCCTGCTCCTCCTCCTCCTCCTCCTCCTTTTCCTCCTCCTCCTCCTCCTCCTCCTCCTCCTCCTACGCCTCTGCCTACTCCGTCAGACTCCCTCCTCCCCGACTTCCTCCCGTCTCATCTCCCCTCTGCCTTGCATCTCTCCTCCCACTTCCTCTCCCTCGTCTTCATCATCCCTCCTCCCTGTCCCCCTTTCGTCCTCCAGGTCCTCCTCCTCCTCATCTTCGTCATCGGCCTCCTCCCGCATCGCCCCTCCTCCTCCTTCCTGACTCTCCCTTTCCTGGTCAGCCCTCATCCTCCCCCCTCCTCTCCCCTTTCGTTCCTCATGCTTCCCATCTCCCTCTCCCACCCACCTCCAGGCAAGCAGGGGAGGGAGGAGGAGGAGGAGGAGGAGGAGGAGGAGGAGGAGGAAGAGGAGGAGGAGGAGGAGAAGAAGGAGGAGGAGGAGGAGGAGGAGGAGGAGGGACCAGGAGGATGACGCTGAGGACGCGCAGGAGCAGGAGCAGCAGCAGCAGCAGCAGCAGCACGGCGCTGCAGCAGGCAGGGTCCGGGCGGCCCAGCTCCGCCGCCAGGTGCAGGGCGGTGTAGTCGCACCTCAGCGGGCGCCAAGGGGCCCCGGCAGGCACGGCTGAGCAGGCGACGAGGATGGGGAGGAACAGAGGAGGAGAAGGAAGAGGAGGAGGAGGAGGAGGAGGAGGATGGAGGAGGAGGAGGAGGAGGAGGTGGAGGAGGAGGGGGAGGAGGAGAAGGAGGAGGAGGAGGAGGAGGAGGAGGCGGAGGAGGCGGAGGAGGCGGAGGAGGCGGAGGAGCTGAGCAGGCGACGAGGAGCTGAAGGCGAAGACGAAGACGAAGAGGGAAAAGAGAAGAGGAGCATCAGGCAGGCGGGTGAGGGACAAGTAGGGGAACGAAGAATGACATAAACATGAAAACTCGGAGGTCCGCGCGGATTTCTCGGATTCGCGCTGGACTTCCCTGGCGGCGCCTCTGGCGCTGCCCAGCGCCGATCCGAGAAGCCCGCGCGGACCTCTGAGTTGTTATATTCATGTCATTGTTCGCTCCCCTACAAGAGCAACCTCGTCGCGCACAGCTAAGTTGGCGACACACCCTCCTGCCCCGAGCCCCCTCCTTGTGTGCCAACATGTGTGCATGCGCCTGCAGACGTACATGTATAGCCATGTGTTGGCCAGCGTGGACCCCAAACAGCGTGTTTCTATCAATCGAAACTAGAACCGCGCGCGCGCTTCGAGCGCGCCTGGGTTCTAGCGCATGCCAAGGCGTTGGTTAGCTGCGCGTGCTTTTCGGACCGGCTCATTCCATGCCTTGCTCCTTCGTCCTCTAATATTCCTCACAAGTCCTTCCTCGTTAACCATCCAGTCTCTCTTGGGTGTCCTCGCTTTTCGTTTCTCGTTCAATCGACGGCCTCCTCTTGCTTGGGATTATGCGGGGCCTTCGAGCTGTTCAGGGCCGGCGTGGGGAGATATTGAATATGAAGTGAGCTGGCTTGGAGTGTAGGGGTCTCTTGGGGATCTTCCTGTTCGGGCTGCCTTGAAGGCCTTGGGACCCGCTTGGGGCCCTCTTGGGCTCTTCTTCGAATCCGAAGGAGAAGAGCGCGAGATTTCGCGTTTATGGCACTCTGGGGTCATTTGGGGGGGCCTTTTGGGAGCTCCGCTGGGGCATTTTGTGGCCCCTGGTGGCCGCCTTGAAACATCTTGGAGCGTCTTGGGCCACCGAGGGGCCGTCTTGGCGGCCAGCGGGCGTCATCCTGAACCAGCTCGGAACCCTATTCAGGCAGAAAAAATCACCCAAAGACCCTAAGGCGGATCCCGGAGCCCAGGGGGGGCCAAGTGGGTTGTTTCCTATCCTGTTCTTCCTGCTCCTCCTTATCCTCCAAGTTCACCCTGCTCCACAAGGCCCGAATAGCCAACCTGATTCTACGCAGCGTGAGGTGACGAATGAATCTAGACAACACGGGCAAGCAGTTTTGCAACGGAGACACGCCACACACGTACAACGTACTAACCTGATTCCTTAGGTCTGCGAAGCGAACATTGACGAGGTATCCTGGTAGAGAGGCATCGCTTGGCGCATACGTGCCTGGTCGGTACTCCAACGGTGCGCGCACAAGCCATAGCGGAACTCCTTGCTGCCCCTGATATTTTCCGACGGAGACGCATCAGCCTGGCGCGCATTTCTCTGGTCGATTTCCCACGGGTGTGCACGCAAGGCGACTTGAAATAAACGATCGCCTCTGCGGTGAACAGCAAGGTCTCGCGCCAGAGACACAACCGCCTCGCGCGCACTTACCTGGTCGATTGCCCAAGGATGTGCGCAAGGTGGAGCTACCAGCTCCTGAAAATAAAAAGATGCACCCAATTCACCGGGGTGTCCGCAAGCGGACGTTACCTGCAAGCCGGCACTGTAGCCTGACGCGCCTTGGCGCGAGCGGCACAAGTACTGACGCGCCGAACAATTTCCTTGCTGAGTAATCGAACGCCAACAGTGAAGCTCCGCCACCCTGTCGCAAGCACGTTGGGGCCGCGTGAGAGTGCCTGTTGGCTTTCGGAACATGCTTCTGCTGTCCTCTGGGGGCGACGCCCCCCTGCCGCGCGCATCCTCACGATCCTCATCAAATCGCGCCCTCTGCGCTTTGCTCCACGGCGCCCTGAGCCAGAGACCGCCTCAAAACGGCCGAAGACGCTCCAAGCCAGTCCAAAGACGGCCCAGCAGACTCTCTTGGCCCTCTCTGGAAATCCCGTTTGGGTTTCTTGGAGCCCTCATTGGGGCCCTCTTGGGCGGACTCCGGAATCTCCGGGGCCGTTTTGGGGGCCCTCTTGGGCCGTCTTCGGGCCCTAGGAGGGGGGGAAGGAGGGGCCAGGCGGAGCAAAACAAACGATTGTCCCCGCAGCAAGCAGATAGAATCCGAGGTTGGGAAAGAGATTGAAGTGAACAACAGACCTCCCGCCAGGAAATTGTTGTCGGTTTCGTGTTCGTGTCGTGCGTGTGGGCGAGGCGAAGCTGCGTCAGCGGGCGGCAGGAATCAACCCGCCGTGCTTAAGGCAAAACCGGGCCAAATGTTGCTGTGCCCCAGGGTTGGCCAGCGGTGGCCCTGGGGATGTCCCGCGTTGTCCCGTGGTGCCCCCCGCCCGGCTGGCCGGCGGTGGCCTGCGGGTGTCCCGTGGTGTCCCGTGGTGTCCCGTCGTGTCTGGCGCTAGGCGATGCTGTGCTATGCTATGCTACGCGGTGCTATACAATGCTATGCTCTGTTATCCATGCGATGCTAAGCTATGTGATGTGATGCGATGCGATACTATGCTATGCGATGCGGTACTATGCTATGCGATGCGATGCGATGCGATGCGACGCGACGCATTGTTATGCTACGCTACGCCATACTGTGCTATGCGATGGTATGATATTAGATGCGATGCGATGCTATGCGATGCTATGCTGTGCTATGTTATGCTACGCTATGCTCTTCTATGCTGTGCTGTGCCATGCTCTGCGATGCTATGCTATGTTATGCTATGTCATGCGATGCTATTATATAGCTCCACTTGGTCCTCCTTACTCCCCCCCACCCCACCACACACAACCACCTTCTCACCCGAAGGGTGGTCGTACATGTAGGTATGCACTGGCAGGATCTCGCGGCCAGAGACGCAACCGCCTCGCGCACACTTGCCTAGAGCGGGGAGGGATGGGGAGGAATGGGAACGATCTGGGAGGAGCGGGGAGGGGTGCGGAGTGGGGTGTCTTGTGGGCCTCTTGGACTATCTCAGAGCGCTCTGGGATCCACAGGTGCCTTCGGAGGCCGTCTTGGAAGGCTCTGTGGGGCGTCTTGGGGCGATCCTGGGGGGCGAGCCCATCTTGAGACGTCTTGAGGCTCTCTTGGGCCATTGTGGGGCCGTCTCAGGGGCCTTGGGTCGTCTTGAAGCTCCCTTGGGGGTGTCTTGTGCCCTCTTGGGCGCCCCCTGCGGCGCTCTTGGGCCCTCTGGGGTCCTTCCGTGGGCGTCATGGGGCTATCTTGGGCCGTCTGAGGGCCCTCTTGGGCCAGTCAGGGGCTCTCTTGAAGGCCCGTCAGGACGACTTAGGGTGAGCTTGAGGGCCTTCGGGCCGTCTTGGACGCTCTCGAGACGAAAGAAGCGATTGTGCTAACAATGTACGTTTTCCTATAGGAATGTGACGATTTTTACCTCACGGGAATGCTCTTGAGGGCCTCTAGGGTGGTCTTGGGGCCCTCTGGGGCTGTCTTGAAGCTGGCGCGGGCGCTGTGCAAGACTCTTGGAGCATCTCGGAACCTTCTTGGGCCGTCTGGGGGTGTGGCTTCGGGTTCTGAAAGCCCCCAGAAAGCTCCCAATGGGTCCCAAACCCCCAGGGTCACAATGGGTACCCGGGGGGGGGGGGGAAGTGTGCCGCCCCAGGGGCCGGGGACCCGGTCCCCCAGTATATTATATACTAGAACCATAGCGCGCGCTTCGCGCGCGCTTAGGTTCTAGCTGGTCGAGTGCTGACCGCATTGAGACAACCAGGTGGTCATGAATAGTGAAATCAACATTCTCTGTTTCCTCCCGCCTCTTCCTCATGCCTCCTCCTCCGCTCTCATCGACCGGTCGACTGGTGATCTGTCGCCAACCTTCTTGGGGAACTCTTGACCCCTCCTGGGGGTCTCCTGGGGCGAAGATCTCGGGTTCTCGGTTCACGTTCTCGATAGTGGCCTTCGGCCCATCCCGCCACAGTGCCTGGGTTGTGGGTTAGAGGCCCCTTGGGAGTTCGTTTGGGATTCGTGGGAGGCTTCCTGGGGGCCACTTGAAGGCAATTTTGGAGGCCTCTTGGGGGCCGTTTGGGGTGCTCGTGGGGCCCCCGCCGCCGCCGGGCCCCGGACGGAGCAGCCGCCGCGGGCCCGCCGGCGGGGCTGGCCGCGCCACACGCTCGGGGCGTGACCCGTCCCCCTGAGCGGCTCGCTACTTCCGCCCCCTCTTTCGGCCGCGTCCTCCTCCTGCTCCTCCTCCTCCTCCTCCTCCTCCTCCTCCTCCCCCTCCTCCTCCTCCTCCTCCTCCTCCATATCCTCCTTCGCCTAGCTCAACACTTGGGCTGGCTTGGTGCCTGTCGGGGCTGTCTCGGAACTGTCTCGAGGCCCTCCTCGGCGCTCTGGGGCCTGGGGCCGCTCCGAGAGAACTGGGTCGTCCTACCAGTTGTGGTTGAAGGATCCCCCTCGCCTCCCGAAGACTCTGACACCTCCAACTTGCGGAAACACTCAAACCTCCCGCACCCCTAAACAGCTGGAAGCCATCAGAGGCACAGAACCTCCCAAACCGTCCAGCCACTCTGCTCGTCCTCCATCCTCCCTCGTCGTTCTCCGTCTTTCGCCACACCGCCAAGTGATGTGGTTCCAGCCATTGGACACCACGAGGTGCATGACCTGCCGCTGGGGGAGCAGCTATTCACCGCCCGCCCGCGGACAGGAGATCGCGACATAGGACTCCTTCTCCTCATTATCCTCCTCATCGACGCAAGGGGGACGCGGGAGGTGAGAGGAGGAAGAAATTGAGGTCAACCACCGTGATCTCTCTCCCCTCAGTTGGAGATCTTACAGGGAGCTGGTGACGCGGCGTTTCAACGACACCAGCAAGAAAGCTAACACCTTGAATGTCATGGACGCCGATAGTTGAAAGACTGTTTCGTTGTGGGTGGTGACCTTGAGCAATTTGGGAGCATATCCAGTGTCCTGCCTTGCCTGGGAAGTCAATTGCTTCGTATGGCCTCGACTCATGCCATGAGACGTGTAGCATGCGATTATATCAGCACCGTCACTGCAGAAACATGAAAAGTCGCGTGGTCCAATTGAGACAAGGACTCCGCGAAGCAGGCAATCAAACTGCTGCACTGACCAAATGGGCGGACCTGACTGCGTCCTGGCGTTAACGAATCTGGAGACAGTCGTCACAACGCCAAGAACCTTCCGGTTGAAACCACCAGTGGCCATCAAATGCCGTCACCCGAGGGCCAGCACTTTGAGGGACACGCTCGAGCGTCCGTAGCAGAAGCATCAGCATCTTCGAGCACCTCGCCTCTCGGATGAGCGAAGAGGGCGGGCTGGGCCGCAGAGTGCGTGGCCGAATGCCCGAACCTGCGGACCTGCTCCGCTTCGGAAAAAGCTTCTTCGTTTGAGGGCAAACGAGCCTTGACCCACTGGACGTCTCCTCCTCCTCCTCCTTCTCATCCTCCTCCTCCTCCTCCTCCTCCTGCTCCTCCTCACCCTCATTTTCATCTTCGTCGTCTTCAGGGTCGGCGGCACCGGCCGTAAGGCCTTCGCAATATGACGTGTCTCCGACCGGCCGATCAGTTGCAAGCACACACCCGAGCACATGCACTTGAAAGAAGCATTGCAATATCTAGGTCGTTCGCACAAGGACTTCACATTGGCACACTCTACAAGGAGAAAAATTTGCCCTGTCAGGCACGCAGCAGAACCCCAATACCCTGAACACCCTTCAGCCTGAGGCAATTGAGGCGAGGGTGCCTACGCGGGATATTTCATTGTGCGCAAATGACCATCTCCATCAAAAATACGCCGACCCTTTCGGCGTGTGTGGGACATTTTTCAATTCGAGTCGCCGTGCCACTCCCCCCCTTTCCCTGGGCCCTCCTGCTCAAGCGACCAAGCCAGACGAAAATCGAAAAACGCCGCAACCGACTCAAAGGGATGCCACTTGCCTTTGGTCGCTTCCCCGCGCTCGTGGGGGGCCCCGGGGGGAGGTCCACCCCCGCGGGGGGGGGGTCCAGGGGTCATGACCCCCCTCTCCAACCAAGACGGCCCAAGAGAGCCGCACAGAGCTGCAAGAGGGGGAATACCAATCAAGTCGAACGGACCCTCCTCCTCCTCATCCCCCTCCTCCTCCTCCTCCTCCTCCTCCTCCTCCTCCTCCTCCTCCTCCTCCTCCTCCTCCTCCTCTTCCAGGGAGGAACTCACCGCGTCGCAGCCGTCCGCCACGTCAGCGACCGGTGCAGCGCGCCCCCCACCCTGCGGGCCCTGCTCGGGCCGCGCCCCAGGCTCCGTGGCCCCTGCTGATGGCCCTCGGCCCACCCAAGATATGGCCGACGACGCAGCCCGGCTTCCAACATGCTCGAGGGGTGCTATAGGCGCCCCTGGCCCCGGGTGCCCCCAGCTTTTCGCTCGACTTTAAGGCCTCTGGGGCCCCTTGGGCCTCGTGAGAGGTGCTCTGGAGGCCGTGGGGGCCTCCCTGAAAATCCTGGGGGCACCTTGGGCCAGGGGGGCACGTCTGGAAACAATCAGCATGCCCCAAGATGGCCCCGCGGGGCTGTCCTGGAATCGGGCCGACACGGAAGCCCTGTGAGCCAGCCCCAGAGACCGAAGGCCTCACACAAAACTCGGATGATGGCAACAAGTTCGCATGCTCGCCTGCGTTCGGTCTGGAGGGTGACCAAGACGGACCAAAAGGGCCCCAATGTCGTCCCAAGACGGGCCCACAGCGCCCAAGAGGGTCACAAGAAGCTCACAAGAGGGGCCCCAAGAAAGGCCCAGGAGAGGAAACTCAAAGGGGCCTTCGGGGCCATCCACACCAAGATGGTTCCCCAAACCGCCCCCAGGTCCCCAAGAGGTGCCCAAGATGTCCCCCAAAAGACCCGCAAAGGCCAAGATGGTCCAGGATGGCCCCAAGATGCCTCTAGCACGGCTCAAGATACCTCCAAGATGGCCCCCCAGACAGCTAAAGATGGCCTCATGACGGCCAAGGAGGCCTCCAAGAGGCCCTCAAGGAGGACCCGAAGATGCCAACGCCATTGGTGCTCCTAACGTGTTTCTATGATTGTCGCGTTCTGACATTTTCAGGATTCCGAGGCCTACTTGACTACAGCAAGTTCACCGAAAACGCACAAGAGGCGCTCTTCAGATGGCACCAAGCCAACGCCAATACGAAATTTAACTGCGGGATCAGCATCCCGCCTAGGATTTTGGGGAACAGCATTTTTTGGGGGGTGGTGGATGGTCCCTCCTGAACTGAGGCTCACTTGTTGTGATACGGCAGGGGTGCTGGATCCCGCCCAGGCCACGCAGGGCAGGTGTCTTGCCAGGCTTCTAGGGGGTGGGGGCGGGGGTGGGGGGGGCGTCGCCTCCTGAACCATCGCCCCCCTCGGGGACGCTGTCACGGGGCGACCGTGTTGGCAGGCGTCGTAGGCAATCGGGCGACACGGCAGAAGTCCAAAGAGCTTTCGCAACACCGATGTCGTACTGCCCCAGGGGCCTCCTAGATAGCCCCAAGTCGGTCCAAGACGGCCCAAGAAGCCCCTGGAGCCCCAAGACAGGCCAGGAGGCCTCCAAGACGGCCCCCAAACAGCCCAAGAGACCTCCTAGACGGCCCTGCTGCGTCCCAAAACAGCCCAAGCAGGCCCCCAAGACGGCCTCCGACAGCGGCCAGCGGGCCAAGACCCCATAAGCTCCCAGAGGCTCCCAAGAGGCCCCCGGAAAGCCCCCAGGAAGCCCCACGAGGGCCCCGAGAGTCCTCCTCCTCATACTTTTCCCTCCTTTCCTCTTCATCCTCCTCCCTTGGGAAACACACACACACACACACACAGACACACACAGTCCAATAGCTTGGCCAGACTTTGGCCCAATGATCGGCCACATCGGCGCTTCCAAAAGGACGGGCACGGCGGTGACTCACCGAAAATGTCGCTCGCCCTACTTCCCACGTCCCCCTTCCGCCTCCCCTACGCCCGACCTTCTTCATGCAGTCGGGCTTGACCTGGCAGCCGGTGCGTTGCAGCGCCGCCGCCGCGAGGAGAGCGCATGCGAGGGGGATGAGAAGCATCCTCTTGATCATACAGCGAGCGGCTTGAATAAGGAACGCTTGCGTTTCAAAAGGGGCTTGGTCGTTCCTTAGGCTTGAATGCGTTACTTCGTCGTTTCTTGCTGCGTTATCTATGATCTCTCGTTACTCATGCGTTATTCCCTGGAAGATGAAAAAGGGGCTACGTTCCTTATTGATCGTTCCTTAGGTCAGGCCGATGACTGTAATCGGTTTCCGCCTCCCCCTCCTTCTCCTCCTCAATCCCTTTTCTTCGTACATCGCTCCTGCCTGTCGCACCCGCGGACATGTCGGTGGGGCGGGCTGGGCGTTCCGCCGAGGACTGACGCACCATGCGAGATCCTCAAGCTCGAGGGTTGCAACAGCTTCACGGATAGAGGGGGGGGGTATTGTGTATGTGGCGTTCGCCTCGACGCCGCGCACATGCGCCTCAAACTTCTGCAACAGCTTCACTGGTGGAGGAGGGTCGTGTACTGTGTGTGGCTCCAGCTTTAGCGCCACGCACATGGCATGGATGGAGGGCGGTACCTTTCCAAACTGTGGCACTCGCCCTAGCGTCGCGCACGTTCGTTTTGACTGTCTCACGGATCGAGGCGGCAGTTTTCAAAACGGGGCGAGCGCCTGTGCGCACAGTCGCTTCAAGCGGTAGCTTCAACTTCACGGATCGAGGGCGGCTCAGCATGTGGCCATCGGCTCTCGCCTCAACGCCGCGCACATTCGTCCTAAAACTGTGCAACCGCTTCGCAGATGGAAGGGGTAGTTTCCAAACTGCGGCTCTCGCCTGAGCGCCGCGCACGTGTGCCTTACAAGTTGCAGCACTTTCATGACTGGAAAGGGGTGGTTTTCAAAATGATGCCCTCTTTTCAAGACACGCGCAATTATGTTGTGGAAGTTCGCACTAACTTCACGACAACGGTACCGAAACAGGAGTTATACCTATGAGGTCCCGAAAACTTGGGCTCGAGCGTGACCGTGGATACACAGCTGGTCGGCACCGCCCTTGGGAGGTCAAAATGAAATGCTAGCTAGCTACATGACAGCGATCATCAAGATATGAGAAGCGATTCGCAAGCTGGGCCAAAACGAACGCTTTTCCTGAGAGATCCCGACCATCTGAGCGCGAGCGAGCCCATGAAACATCCCTGGTCGATCCCCCTCCCTGGGAGGCTTAAACGAGAAGACAAATGTTTGCTGTTCAGCAACATGAGCTCAGCGTGAGAGATCCCGGCAATCTGAGCGCAAACGGGCCCCTGGAATACGTCCCTGGTCGACACTCCGTTGGGAGGCCCAAGCGCCATGCCTGCTGCATCGCGGAGGCCATGGGGGTCTGAGCGGATACTGTTCCACTCGGCCGAACCAGCGTTTCGCCTGAGGCGGCCCGACAATCTGGGCGCGCCCGCCAAACACCCACTGGCCAACACCACCTCGAGAGGTCAAAAAATGCCGTGCCTGCTACATCGCGATGGCAATGGCAAAACGGAAGACTCGCCTGAGGAATCCCCACAATCTGGGCGCCAACCGGACCGTGAAACAACCCTGTTCGACACGTATGAGTGAGTCTGAGAGGGAGTGGGTCTGAGTATGAGCGGGTCTGGATATGAGTGGGTCTGAGGATGAAGGGATACATCCCCGTAACGAAGGTTTGTTCAGATTGGCTAACATTGACGTGTCTGGGCGCTGTGGTGAGAAGTGTAAAGGGGATAATTGTTCTTTGTGATTTCACACTGAGAGATATTCAGAATTGCGCGGGAGCGGCCGGGAGTGACTTCGCCCAAGTGAACTTATGGGGGGAGAGATCCTGTCCCAAATTGGCTATATAATATAAATTGTACACCGGGAGAATCCGGGAAAGCTCTCCCGCCCAACCAGGCCGAGGGCTGCCGTGCTAGAACTCTACAGGGTTGAAGGGGGGGCCCGCTCGGAGACGTCCATGTCGTCAGTGCTCAAGATGAACAACTTTCGTAACGTGTAAGTATGAGTGTGAGTGAGTCTGTGGGTATCAGATCACACCAGAAGCAAAAAAAACACTCCATATCCCAGACCAAACGAGCGGTGGGGGAGATAATGAAAAGCAGGAACTGACCTTCCCCCAAAAAAGGCGGCGGGACAGAACAGCTCATATCAATCAGTTCAAACCCCCAGAAAAATGCTGACGGTGAGTCTTCTTTAGATCAGTCTCAATTCATCCTGGCGGGCTGCGCTCTGGAATCAGGCACCTCGCGTGCGCTCCCGGGCGCACCCGCCCAGCGCTCGCAAGCGCTCCCAAGCACGAGCGCAGGCGCTCCCACGCGCCTCCTGGCGTTCCCAGGCGTTCGCATGCGTTCCCGGGCGCTTCCCCCCCAGGCGTTCGCAAGCGCTCGCAATCGCGCGCAGGCGCTCCCAGGCGCTCGAATGCCCTCTCGGGCGCCCCCGGGGGCACTCGCAGGCGCCCGCGGGCGCGTGCGGGCGCTCACAGGCGCCGGAGCTCGCAAACTCGTGTGAAAGACAAATGCTAGGGAAACGAACTCTATACACCGACGCTTTATCCGACGCTGCGCAGAAATTCGCACAGGAACGCAGATGTTGGTGTATACGGGATCCTAATGTATATATTTGTCGTTGCTTCCCATGGAAAACGAGGGAAAAGTATACACCACACCACCCCGACGTCGTCCCCGACCCTAAAAAAGTCGCGGGATTGAAAAAACAACCCGCCACTGGTAATGTATATGTTCCAGTTTCCGAAATGCGGGGAACAGCCAACAAAATGGCGGCGGGCTCGCTGGCCAAACTCAATTCAAAATGCGGGCGGCGGGGGAGGGGGGAGCCCATTCAGTAATTACTGTAGTGCGCACCGAAGAAGCCGAAGTGAGGGTCTCAGCATGACTGAGCCTCAGATTGAGCCATGAGTGAACATGAGCACGGGTGAATCTGAAGATGGGTGCGCCTTGATACGAGCGCGTCTAAGCATTAGCCATCTGAATGTGAGGGGCCTGGTATGCGCGAGTCTGAGTACGGGCGACTGAGTATGAGTATGTGCGCGAGTGAGTCTGAGCGTGGGCTCCTGGAGGAGGCGGGAGTGTGAGAGAGGGACGGGGTGAGGCAGAGGGGTCCCAGTAAAAACAAAAAACCTATCCTCAGGCTATGGGGGATAAAATCAAACCCTTGGAAAACCCTTCCAGGCTGGCTGGCCGGGGCCTCCGTCAGCTCCACAGCCTCATGCATCGCGCGCTTCAAACGCTCCACCTCCGCGATCGCCTTGGGAACGCGGCGGTTGGCTGGCAGCAACATCTCACAGATGCATGTACGTATGTATGCCTGTATGCATGTGTACATATGGAATCATAATGTATACGAAGATTCCTACCCATCTATTATTCCTATAGGGCTGGGGACCCGGGACAGGGCCCAACCACCCTCCCCCGAACGAATCTCGGATTCCCCGGGCTGCTCGGAAGCCCCCCCCGGCTGCTCGGACGCCCTTGCAAAGGGTTCCTTCGGACTTCTGGCCTTCTCGGAGGGTCCAAACAGGCCTCCAATATTGCCCAAGATAGCTCGTCGACACCTCCAAAGCACACCAAAACGCCCAAGAGGCGTCGAAAACGCACCCACACACGTCCACGAGGCCTCTGGATTGAGCCCACAGAGCTAAAAATCGTCCATCTCCCTTCGGGTTTTGAAGGATTTCGGCGTCCTCGCCTTCTCGCGCTACCACGCTCCAAGACGGCCCAAGACATGCCAAGAAACCGCCCAAAGAGCGGCTCAAAACGACCCACGTGGGCTACAAGACGGCCCATGAAGCCCCCAAAACAACCCAAGAGGGCCCTTAGACGGCCCAAGAGAACGCCAAAACGGCCCCCAACACGACCAGAACGGGCCAAGACAGCCTCAAGAAGGCTCCGAAGAAGACCAGGAAATGAAACACGAACTCAAATTTCGAACCTGCCGCCTCAAAATCGCCCCGGGATCTTCCAAAGGGCTCCCCCTGCCCCCCGCGACGCCACAAGAGGCCCTGATTTCTGCTTCCTGGGCACTCTTGAGCGTGCTCTTGGAGGCCTCTTGGGGCGGCTTGGAAGCCTTTTGGGCAGTCTGGAGGCCATTAAGGGCGTCTTGGAGAGAGATCATCGGGCGTCTCGGACCCCTCTTGAAACGTTTTGGGGGCCTCTTGGGGCCCTCTCAGACGATCCTTGGAACCTTGAAGACGGGCCCCAGGAATTTCGGCATCCTTGAGCAGCAGTGCCCGGGGTACTTGTGGACTGGGCACCCCCAGGAGCCGCCACGCGCGCGCGAACTAGCAACTTTATAACCTGTTACCGGAGCCCTCAGCACGCCTCTGGCCCGTTGGGCCGTCGAATTCATCGTTACTCCCCGCGCGCGCGCAGGTGCGTGCACATGTATGTGCACATGCATACATGCATGCATGCGTGTACACGTCGACATATACATTGGACATGATGCATATATATATATAGATATAAATACACACACTCACCCCTAGTTCGACGATATATGTATAGCAGCATGCACACACACACACACTCAGACACACACACACACACACACATGTGTGTGTGTATATCGGATGTGAGGGGGTGAGATCGAAGTGGAACGGAGAGCCCCCCTACCGGGAAATCGATTTCGGTTTCGTGTTCGTGCGTGCCGCGCGTGCGGGCGAGGCAAAGCTGCGTGGGCGGGCGAGAAGAAAGTCTCCTGTGGCTGAGGCGCGGCCAGACCAAATGAATGACTCCCTTCCGGCAACCGGTGGCCCGCGGTGTCCCGCCGGTGTCCCGCCTCCGGCTGAGGCGCGGCCGGATGAAATGACTCCCTTCCGGCGTCCGGTGGCCCGCGGTGTCCCGCCGGTGTCCCGCCGGTGTCCCGTCGGTGTCCCGATGATGATGATAATGATGATGATGATGATGATGATGATGATGTCGATGATGTTGATGATAATGATGATGACGATGATGATGATGATGATGATGGTGTCCCGATGATGGTGATGATGATGATGATGATGTTGATGATGTTGATGATGATGATGATGATGGCGATGGTGGTGATGATGATGGTGTCCCGATGACGATGATGTTGATGATGATGTTGCTGATGCTGATGGTGTCCCGATGATGATGATGATGATGATGATGATGATGATGATGTTGATGATCCTGATGATCATGATGAAACGATGATGCGATCATGATGATGATGATGAAGATGATGATGATGGTGTCCCGGTGATAATGATGAGGTTGATGATGATGCTGTCGATGATGATGGTGATGATGATGATGGTGTCCCGATGATGATGATGTTGATGATGATGACGATGACGATGATGGTGTCCCGTTGATGGTGATGTTGATGATGAGGATGATGATGAGGTGCTGATGATGATTTTGATGATAGTGGCCCGATGATATTGATGATGATGCTGATGTTGATGATGATGGTGTCCAGATGATAGTGATCATGGTGATGATGATGATGGTGTCCCAATGATGATGGTGTCCCAATGATGATGATGATGATGATGATGATGTTGATGATGATGGTGTTGCTGATGATGATGGTGTCCCGATGATGATGATGGTGCTGTTCATGATGATGATGATGAGATGATGATAATGGTGGTGTTCCGATGATGACGATGGTGTCCCGATGATGATGATGTTGATGATGATGATGGTGACAATGATGGTGTCCTGGTGATGATGATGATGGTGATGATGATGATGTTGATGATGATGATGGTGATGAGGTGATGATGATGATGTCCCGATGATGATTATGATGACGTTGATGATGTTGATGACGTTGATGACGACGATGTTGTTGATGATGATGACGTTGATTGTGAGATCGACTGTGGTATCGATAGTGGGATCGATAGTGAGACCGAATGTGAGATCGATTGTGAGATCGATAGTGAGACCGATAGTGAGATCGATTGTGAGATCGATAGTCCGATCGATTGTGAGATCGATCGAGTGAGATCGATTGTGAGATCAATCGAGTGAGATCGATCGAGCGAGACCGATAGTGAGATCAAAAGTGAGATCGATAGTGAGACCGATCGAGTGAGACGTTGGTTCCTCCCCCCCCCGAACCTCCTTATCACCCGGAGGGTGGTCGTATAGATATTTTTTTATATATATGTGGAAACATGCACAACATGCATGCACGTGTGCGTGTACACATGAATGCGCATATGCATTCGCGAATGTATACGCGCACGCACACCGAATGCGCGCGAAACTCAAAGGACCAAGGTGCATGGCGCGAAGTGCCAATGCAAATTTGGATCGGAGGTTGGGGGGTGAGTCCGACGTGAAACGGAGACACCCCCTACCGGGAAATCCATTTCGGTGTCATGTTCGTGTCGTGCGTGCAGTGCGTGCGTGCGTGCGTGCGGGCGAGGCGAAGCTGCGTGGGCGGGCGAGAGGAGATCCTCCTGTGGCTGAGCCGCGGCCGGACCAAATGTTTCTCCTCCAGCGGCCGGTGGCCCGCGTTGTCCCGCGGGTGTCCCGCTGGTGTCCCGAAATCCTCCTGTGGCTGGGCCGCGGCCGGACCAAATGTCTCCTCTGGCGGCCGGTGGCCCGCGGTGTCCCGCTGGTGTGAGATCGATGGTGAGATCGATAGTGAGATCGATACTGAGATCGATGTGGTGCCCCGAGGTGTCCCGTGGTGTCCCAAAAAGTGAGATCACTAGTGAGATCGATAGTGAGATCGACAGGTGTCCCGTGGTGTCCCGTGGTGTCCTGTGGTGTCCCGTTGAGTGAGATCAATAGTGAGATCGATAGTGAGACCGATAGTGAAATCGATGTGGTGTCACGAGGTGGCCCGTGTTGTCCTATGGTGTCCCGTTGAGTGAGATCGATAGTGAGATCGATAGTGAGACCGATAGTGAGATCGAGAGGTGTCCCGCGGTGTCCCGTGGTGTCCCGTGGTGGCCCGTGGTGGCACGTGGTGTCCCGTTGAGTGAGATCGACAGTTAGATGGATAGTGAAATCGACAAGTGTCCCGTGCTGTCCCGTGGTGTCCCGTGGTGTCCCGTTGAGTGAGATCGATAGTGAGATAGATTGAATCAGATGTTGGTTCCCCCCCCTCTCCCCCCCCCCACAACCTCCTTATCACCCGAAGGGTGGTCGTATAGGTATGTATATCTATATATATATATATATATATACACACACATATATACACACACGCGTACCTACGTGTATGTGTATAGATGCAGATTCCCCAAAATGTGCTTGCTCTTAGGAGCTCTCACTTCTTGCCCAAGGAACTGGGCATGTCTGCCGCTCTGGCACTTATGCCCGCCGTCGCCACCCCGTGCCCGCATCGTCGCCGTTCGTCGTCTGGGCCTGCGGGCCGGTCCGTCGCCGCCCCGTCGCCGCCTCGTCGCCGCCCGTCGTCTGGGCCTGCGTGCAGGTCTGGCGCCAGCGGCAGCGTCCGCATGGCGCTCCCACGCCCAAGTCGGCACACCCATCGCACGCTAACGCGATGCTCGCAGCTGCATGTGGTAGGGTCGTTCACCGAATAATGAAGAACGAGTGCGCTGGATGTTTGTGGCAAAGGATCATGGGGGGTCGATAACCAGACTGTCTGGGATGGTGTGAGCTCATAATTCGGATAGACGACTGTGCAGAATCAGATACGGAAAACACTACGAACAGGTGACCGGTAACCCTGGGGGACGGGGCGGTGACGGCGGCAACATAGCCGCCAGAGCGCCACCCAGGCCCAGAAGACGAGCGGCGACGAGGCGGCGACGGGGCGGCGACGGCGGCAACATAGCGCCAGACCGCCACCCAGGCCCAGACGACGGGCGGCGACGAGGCGGCGACGAGGCGGCGACGGGGCAGCGACGGCGGCGACATAGCCGCCAAACCAACACGCAGACCCAGACGACCCGCGGCGACGAGGCGGCGACGGGGCAGCGACGGCGGCGACATAGCCGCTAGACCAAAACGCAGGCCCAGTTCCTTAGAAAATAAGTCCGCCGGCCCCCTTTGTGGGGCCATCAGGCTGCGCGGATAGGTTTGCTGCCCCCTTCTCCAGTTCTGGCATCAATTCTCCCATATTATAAAATAGTTTTCTACTTCCTCCTGTAAACTGTTGTAGCCCCGCGCGGGGGATGGGGAACCCAAAAGTACCCAATGCACCACGCCCCAAGAGCCTTGTCTGAATGATTGCGGGGCCGTGAGGCACGTAAAAATACATGAGATTCCCGCCCACGAAACGATAATCCT